GTCTGCTTACAAATATAACATACATGGCTTTATATAGCCTCAAAATGAAACTATTAAAGGCATTCTGTAACATTCATACTTAATGACCATAATTAGCCATTATGTAAATGTAACCTAAAGTAAATAAAATGTCTTAAAATACAATAACTCTAAATTACTTTAAATTGTAACCCACCCAAAATTTACAACAATCAAACTTTATTCTTTTTCAATGTAGAATGAATTGAAACATCTTTTGATAATTTTGACAACCTTTTCTTCACATCTTCATTGAAGTATATTGTATGATTGATGTCTCTTGGTTCATATCATGATGTCTCTTGGTTCATATCAGGTTTGTTAGGTGTTGAGAAACAACTATGGGGTGTGGGCTGGTTTCTTATTGAGCAACTGAGCACGAATGAGAATATCTCGAGCATATTTTAACTAACTAATAAAGAGACCATCAGGAGTGGGTGAAGCTTCAAGACGAAGAAAGTAACTGAGAGAACCCAAATCCTTGGTAGCAAACTCATAATGAAGCTTGCGAGTAAAGCTGTCAATAAGAGATGAGTTGTTTTCGGTAACAATAATATAATCAACATAAATAAGCAAATATATAAGGTTAGATTGCTGATGAAAGACGAAAAGGGACGTGTCAGCGCGACTGCAAGAAAAACCAAGTGTGAGAAGAAATAAGCTAAAATGCTGAAACTAGACACGAGGATCTTGCTTTAACTCATAGAGGGCTTTCTTTAATATACCCAGGAGGTTGTTCCATATGACATGATCAATAAGAGTGTCATTGAGGAAAGCATTCTTGACATCAAGTTGCCGAAGAGACCATTTATTTGTGATCGCAATAGAAAGCACAATACGGACAGTGGTAGCTTTGACAACTGGACTGAAAGTGCCAATGTAGTCGAGACCAGGAACCTGAGTATAACCTTTGGAAACAAGACAAGCCTTGAAACGCTCGATAGATCCATCAGGCAAATATTTAATGCAAAACACCCATTTATAGCCCACGATGTTAGTGTTGGTAGGGCGAGGAACCAAAGTCCAAGTGTCATTTTGTTGTAAAGCTCGAATTTCTTCCTCCAAGGCAACAACCCAAGTAGGATTCTTAGCCGCAGATTTGAATCATTTTGGCTCAGTGGATGTAAGAAAAGTAGAAATAAGTCCAAATGAGCCCAAAATACCCAGACTTGTTGGATGACAAGTCTTGAAGATATCAGCTTTGACTTGTGTGATCATAGGATTAGCAAAAGGTTCAATAGAGGTCGAATCAAAAGTCGAGGGTGGCAAAGAGGAACCTACAAGAGAAGTACCTATACAGATTCATCCACAAGATCAGAACAAATATCACACAGGGATGAACTAGATCGAAGAATGTGCGGTGAAGAAGTGGTAGGGGAATGAATGTATATGGTAAAGATGCGGTTACAAGAAATTTGAAATATGAAAAGAGGAAAGAGGTTGAGCCTGGGAGTTAGGGACAACAAAAAAGTGAGTTTCATCAAATTAAGCATTGTGGGTGATGTATAGCTTAGTGGTGGTGGGATCATGACAACAAAACTTTTTATGAGCGGGACTATAACCCAAAAAAATGCAAGGAATGCTACGGGGAGAAAGTTTGTTAGGCATATAATCTCGCGATAAACACAACAACCAAAGGGATGAAAATTGTCATAATGCGGAGGAGTAGCCATAGAGGAGTTTAAATGGTGACTTGCCTTCAAGGAGTGGAGTAGACAACCAGTTGATAACACTATAGTGCTGAAGACGTCAACCCAGAAACGAGGAGAAAGATGGGAGTGAAAGAGAAGGTCCAAGTTAGTCTCAGTCACATGACGATGTTTTCTCTCCGCACGACCATTTTGAGTAGGTGTATATGAACAAGAGAGTTGATGGTGGATGTCAGAAGTATGTAAGTGAGTTTTGAAACAAGTGCTAGTAAATTCGACACCTCCATCACTTTGAAAAACCTTGATACGAGCATAATATTGATTTTCCATAAATTTTTGAAATTGAAGAAAAAATATCAAAGAAATCAAATTTTAATTTTAAAAGGTAAAGTCAAGTGAATCAAGAATAATCATCCATAAAAATAACATAGTAAAGAAAACTCGAATTGAATTTAACGGGGGAAAGACCCCAAATATCACAATGAATAAGATCTAACACATGAGACGACTTATGTTCATTGCGAGAATAAGGCAATCGATGACTTTTCGCAAGCTGACAAGTACTACATAGTGATAGAGAAGGCAATAAAGACGTAAGAGAAAGATGACATTTTTTTATTTAAAAAAGAAAAATAATAGAATAATTCATATAACACAGGCGAACATACCATAAATCATATGAATCACGTAAAGATTTATTTCTAAAGACATAAATAAAGCCAGAGTTGTCGTGCTCCAACACATATAGCTCTTCATCCCTTTTACCGGTTACCGCCACCCTTTCTGTTTGATGATTCTAGATAGTAAGAAAATTATTAGTAAATGTAACGAAGAGAGAAAAATCAAACGTTGATTTACTAATTGAAAGAAGATTTTTAGTGAGATGAGAGACAACCAAAACATCTAATGAGTGAATATTTGGAACATGAGAAAGAGTACCAATGTCCAAAAACCATGCACCGTTTCCTACGATGACAGAGTCCTTACTCGTGTAATTTTTAGACTGATTCAAAATAGATGAGTCGGCGGTCATATGGTCGAAGCCCCAATGTCCAAAAACTAATCAATAGCCTCGGGTCCAGCAATAAAACAGGATGTGTTAAAGGCTTCAGCAAGGTGAGCACGAGCAAAATTAGGTCGAACGTACCGTTTGTTGCAGCAGTCAGCATAATGGCCCTTCGTGCGACATATTTGGCAGCGATGTGATCGATGACCCTGACTCAAGTGGGTTCATCCTCGGTTGGAAGAGTTGTTTTTGTGGGAATGAGAACGACCTCGTTGGTTGCTAAAGAAAGTAGGGTGACTTCCATAGGTGCGACCACGATTAGTGGTTGTGAATGCTATAGGAGTGGAGTCAGAATACTCAAGGGAGCGCTGGAACAACTCAAAACTTTCAGCTTTATAGACTAAATCTGCAAAACAAGGGAGAGGGGTGAGAGCCATTTGAGTAGTAGAAAAAGTTAAAAAAATCGGTGTTGAGTCTACGAAGGTACCAGTGCACTTTATCAATGTCCTCGATGGGTCTGCGAATGACATGAAGTTAGTCACAAATTGTTTTGAAGGTACGGGCATACTCAGCAACAGATTTGGTGCCGCATTTCATCAGCTACAAGTCATCCTTGAGTTTTAGTTCACGAGCTTTTGAATGATGGTTGAATGTAGTTCCAACGCGAGCCAAACGTCACGTGCAGTGGACAGACCAACGACGACAGCGATAGGTTCCTCGGTGAGAGAGGAGAGCAAGAGACAGAGAAGACGTTGATCGGCTTCTTTCCACGCCAAATATTTGGTGCTGAGTGTTGAGGAGGTTTCTAGTTTAAAGCGAGGTGGTGGAACCATAGGTCCATCAACATAACCCAATATGTCTCGACTCTCAAGGATTGGGAGAAGTTAGTTTTTCCAAAGAAGATAATTGGAGGAAAAAAGTTTGATGGTGATCATATGGATTAGAGTGTTGAAAGGAAGAAGATGATAAAAGGATTCAGAAGCCAAGAGAAAGGATCAAGATTGTTAAACCGAAGGTGCTCTGATATCATGAGAATATCTACTAAAACCACCGAAAGTTCTCTATTTATAATCATTTACAGAATAGAGAACTATGGTAAATTACAAATGATATAGGAAGAACAATAAATGAATACAAGATATTTGTTTATAATAAATGGTCAAATATGATATCTATGTTAAGCCGTAATGAAAGATATATGTCTTTAATAAACTAATAAACGGTCAAATATGATACTTATGGTATATCATAATTCAAGGTTAAATATCCTTAAAAACCCAACAACCTAACCCTACTTTTAACATTATAATAAATATTAAGAATATATAACTTTTATAATCAATGTTAGTGATGTGTTATGACTTGTGAACGCTTAATATTTGAGTTTTATGATATTTTAGTTATTAATGTAATCTATATAGTGGATAAACATTTCTTTTTTTAATAATTATAAAATCAAAAAAATAGCAATGACTTCAAAGACAAAGGGTTAAGTTGAGTTATGCATCATATTTAGAATATCAATTTTTATAGATCTAAATATATAATCTGAAATAATACTAAGTGTTACACTAAGATTTAATATAGGCCTTTATTCAACGTTAATATGAATAAGTTTATTAGGCGTAATATTGTTGATAAAATTAATTAAATTTGAATAACCCTATTTTTTTTTTCTTTTAAAATATGATAATTACGGCACGGTGTTATAACTAAAAAAAAATGATTAAAAGACTTAAATGTTCATAAATTCATTTCTAATTTAATAATATCTTAAAAGTAAGATAGTTGAAAAATGTATGCATGACATATCAATCATTCATTCTTATCATACATTACTTAAACATAATGTCAAAACATACCTGGATTATCATATTAGAAGTACATGCATTATAAAAAGTTCATAAACATGCGCATCATAAAAATAACAACAGCGTTGGAATCAATATTGGTTTTAATAAAATTAAAGTTTGAACAAACTTTCATAAAAATAAAAAAGAAAAGGGAAAAAGTTATAGTGGGTCATTAAACTTCTTGTTCCACTCATCCTTTCCCATGTCTTCATAGGCTAAGAGAATCCCAAGGGATTTGGAGAATGAAAGTTCTTAAGAGAACTCTTTCCTCTCTCTAGAGAGAAGATGTAAGATGCTTTTTGGCTGACGATGAGTTAAGGTGGCATTATGTATCCTTACCACACTTTTTAAACTAAATTTTCAAAAACAAATTTTTAAATAAGTCAAATTAGGAGGTAGACAAGGGATTAAATCACATCTGTTATTACATTTCTTCACGTAAAGGGCAAACAAGAAAAGGAAGACAGAAAACAGTTGAGCGTAAATGTCAAAGATTGGGGTATTCCAATGCCATAGTTAATATCACACTTCAACAAGGAACATACCAAACTTCTTATTCCTTTCTCTATCACTTTTCTTTTACAAACACAATGCCAAACAAAAATACTTCACCACCCCTAGATTCTCTCTGAAAGGAGATACAACATTTTTTTTTTTTTTTTTAATAACAAGATTATTTTGCGAGAATACTGCAGCTCAACGTGAACAAAAAACTAACACAGTACCGATGTCGACGTTGTCTAATAACGGTTCCAGTATGTCCTGCGTCTGAACCAATTGTAATCAGGCAACCCCTGGATGGGACCCAATGCGGCAATTGCAATATCCTGCGCATCAGTCAAAAGATTGATCAATTAAGTGAAACAGGGGAATCACATGAAGCACTTTTTTTCTAACTCTTTCTCAGTTCTTACCCTATCGTAAATAAACCGATTCGCAACACGTTTTATCGTGCTTGCGTCAACAGCATCAATTCTTGCAAACAACTCGGCAAACGGGATTCTACGACCGTATGTAAGCAGCTGCACAACCCAATCAAATATGAGAAGTTGGATTATTTTTCACTACCAAATGACAACACCAGATAACAAAGAGACAAGCATATGACCCGAAAAAAGAAAACTCATCTCGGACGAGTTCTCAGCAAACTAAAATTCCTTATCCGTACGTAATAAGTTCCTCTTTATTTTATTTTGTTTTCTTTTTTCTTTTCCCAAACTCATTTGTGCTGCAAGCCAATTCCATGTTATCTTGAACCAAGAACTGAAATACTTCGAATGTCGTTATTTAAGATATTGGCAAGGAAAGCCCACCTGCCGCCCAATATCTTCAGCTACTGGACTTGTTCCGTCAATGTGAAGCAACAGAGAAGATTTCAACTGCAGATTGCGACAAAAGAGTATGTCAATGGGTAAACACATAAATATTGAATTCAGAGTGAAAAGAAACATGCCCGCTCCCCAAATTCACCTCCAGCCATGAACAACTTTTCTAGCCATAATCTGACATGTCTTACATGGGGGAGCATGCCCGAACGATGTAGGACACAGTTGCATCATCTGGGCACAATGTCCCATCATAACAAATTTGAAATATAATACTTGAAACGAGAATGCATTTCAATTACCAATACAAGAACCTAGATAGATTTAAACTCATTTAATTACTGGACAGTGCAGGATTATGGCCACCAGGATGTAGAATGAAGTCAAATAATAACTTGAAAATAAAGTAACGACAAACTAATGAAGTTTATTTCCTTTTGACTCTAGTATCAGGTACTGGTGAAATTTGTAATTCTTCTTATCACTTCTGTAGTTAACTTGTAAGCTACATCCAAGAGTTAGCTAATTTAATGTTAGATGTCAACTGTCCAGCCAGTTAATCTAATACCACTGGCAGTGTTATCATCAGCTTATTTTTTGTTAGGTTTCATCTCACGCGCTATTATTGTTGCTGTACTTTTGTATGGAAGCTTGCATTTCACTAGGTTGTAAAGAACAAGTTCATCCCTTCTAATTTTAACATAATATGAATTAAGTTTGGATATTACCCCCCCTTATCAATTCTAAGATTCAGTCAATATTAAAAAATGGAGACTCCAACATTGAACTAAGAGGAATAAGAGTTACAGCATCTACCTGATTACGCGCACGGGTAACATCAGCTTCTGAAACCCGGTACGCTAACTTGGTCATCTCGTACATTATTGCATAGGCCAGATCATCCAAGCAGTCCGGCTGAAAACATGTACACAGTGTTCAGATAATTCAGCTAAAAAATCGAACTGCAGTTATCATTCTCATAAGAAAAAATGAATTGGAAAAAAGAGACATCAGAAGGATGGAGGGACTAGATTTCTAATAAAACTAGTTGATAGGAATCAGGAGGTGAGGCACTATTAACAAAAGCCAATGAAAAAACCCCTCAAACAGACTACTCAAACCTCACCATCCTCCCTCCTATTATTTTAAGGAAAAAGTAATAATAGACTCTTTAATTCTTTTCTTCTAAATTCACTAGAGATATTGCTAAGACCAAATCTCTCTACGGTAAGCAGACTCTAGCTTTTCCCCTTCAGGAATATAGCCAATGGCGTAGACATTACGAACCAGTGGCCCAACGAGAGAAATTTCTTCAAACAAAATCAGGGGGGAAATGCATCAAAAGATTATCAATTTCACAGTATGGTACTCACAAAGCACACAACTTAGCAGGTTGAAGTTATGGGCCTCAAAGCTAGTCAATGAATTTAACAATGATACAAACACCAGCTTTAATAACAGATTGTTTAAAAGCCAAGTGACTATGAAGACATCACAACAAGTCGATACAAATATTATATGACCCAACTGGCAAGCAAAAATAAAAAAGCTAAGACAAAAACAAGCTTGTAAATATTAATAAAATGAAATGTGTACCAAAAACTATCGCATAACAAGTACAGCATTCTTTCTTTTATTTAATATGGGTCTGTTTGCTTTGCACGATTTCTCATGATAAAGTCCGCAATATTTGTCTTAATAAGTTATGGACTACCAAATGACATAAGTCTAATCCCGTTCCTAATTTAGAATCAGTGTACATAGATAGGCAAGTGACTTCAAACAAATTTAAATTTACAAATAGATATGATGAATAGAACATCAACCACACAAAAACAGATAAAACAAAAAATCAATTTTTTGCAGTTTTGTTAAAACTCAAAAGTAGAGCTTCTACAAGAACAATTTTAGTATTGTTCTGCCTAAATTAAGAACAAATGCTAATTAACAAACAGTGCTCTATTTTCAATTATAGAAAACATAAGCAATATACTACTGTTTTAATGAAATAATGCTTCTTATTAAAAAAAAATTATACCAAATTTTATGCTGCAGAAAGATTAAAGAGAAACCAAAATTAAAACGTTAAGGGGAAAAAAGGAAAAAAGAAAAAAGAAAAACCTCTCTATTTTCGACACAGAAATCTCAGAAAAACATAAATGCTTTGGAAACTATAAGAAAATGATGCCATCCATTGAAAATATCTCTGTAGACCAGTTTTATTTATTTTTATTTTTTTTAAATAATATTCCTGCTGATTGAGAGGTTTAAGTGTGCTATACAAAATTACAACCTGAAGGTGCTTAACATTAAACTTCGAAATATCAAGTAAATCAAAGGCCATGACACACGTGGAAGTAATCAAGTCAGCAAATGAAGTACGCATTGAGGAATAGAATATTTCAAGAAGAATAATCTTATTGTCACAATTACCTTTGCAACAGCATAGACACCAAAAAGACCAGTGTCCTTGTAATTGGTGTTGAAAGCCATCATACTTTCTGCTACTTCATTGATGGCAACTCTTTGAGCCAGCTCAGAACTGTTCATAGTTGTTTTTTTAAAAAAAAAAAAAGAACAATAATTATGAACAATGAAAATTATTCTCATTATAGATCATGAAAAAACTTTCCACAGGTCAATAGTAGTCAGGAAATTTGAGATTGAAAGCAATAGACAAAGGTTATAAAGGACTTAAGGAGGGGAAAAAATCACCCCATATGCTTTCCACCTCCAGCACTTTTATTCCAAGAACCCAACATGGCCTGCATGACCATCAGAGCAATGGAGTCTGGATCTGTCCAGGATGCTCCATTAAAAGCAATACTAAATTGTGCCAAAGGTACATCATCATCAATTATCCTAACCTGTTTATATCAATGAAAATAAAATTTTAGTAAAATAAAGTTATCCATAGAAAGAAAGGAGGATTCCAAATATATTTTCTTCTAGTACCTCAGAACCAGTAAAAATTGCTGGCTCCTTTGCAACCAACTGAGAAGCTGTGGTTGGTTCTGCTGACAACTTAGTGAACAATTTCTTTACTTGCTCAACGAAATCCTCATGCTTAACAGCTCCGGAAGCAGCAATAACCTATAAGAAATAGTAGCATCATATTATTGGCAACCAACCCAATGAATTCTTGAAAAAGTATCTTGCTTAAAGGGAGAAATGGGAGAAAGATACAGCACAATCATCCTCAAAGGAATCCCGATGCAAAGAAAAATGAAACACTATCCAGATGTAGTCAATATTACGATCAGTATACTATATACCCTGTCTAGTAACTAAACAATTAGATAGGCTGTCCATACCATTCTTGGAGCCGTGTAGTGTGTTTGAATATAACTTTGAAGATGATCCTTGGTAATTGTTCTGATATTTTGAGCTGGACCAAGAATAGTTCTACCAAGAGGAGTATACTGGAATGCAGTTGCGTGCAAATGGTCAAAGATAACTTCTTCTGTTTGGCCCTCAACCTGCACATGTCAATGTCATAAAACTATAAGTCGCACACAAAAATGCAAAAGTCCCAAGTCATATTCAATCCCACGATCAATGCTCTTTTGATGCGAAGAACTAAATGCCCCCCCTACTTGCAGGTTTGAAATGAGACTCCTTGTGTACTAGGAAAAAGGAACACGGGCAAAAAAAAAAAAAAAAAAAAAACTAAATGTGAGTGCATTTGCACAATTCAGACCAGAACTTAACTATTCTTTCGCTACATTATGATTTTGATTGTGTTCAATAAGTTTACCCACGTAAATTTTTACATGTAACCGACCACAATCACCACTCTTCTTCGAGAAAATCTGGTGTCATTGTGGCTACGGACAAGGCTCATGGGCTCCATCAATGCATGCAAAAATATACAAACAAACTTTTCTTACATGTGAATAGCGCTCTGATATTTCCATTTCGAATTTCAACCTTTTTATACACTTGAGCTACTAACCTTTCCAAATAAGAAGCGTTGTACAATTCTATTACATACACAGAAAATGAAACAAAAGGAAAAAGATTCTTACCTCCTCCATTTCTCTCAAAATCACATCCCGCTCACGACTAATCCGGTGCTCGTCAAACTTCGAATTCTGCAAAATGTCAGCCAAAATATCCAAAGCGTGGGGCACATCCTTGTCCAAGACCTTGGCATAATACGTAGTCTGTTCCCTGGACGTGTACGCATTCAAATGACCACCCATGTTCTCGATCTCCTCCTCGAGCTGCCTCGCCGTCCGTTTCTCCGTTCCCTTGAAGATCATATGCTCGAGGAAATGGGCAGTTCCGTTAGTCTCCTCGGTCTCGAACCTCGACCCGGAATCGATCCACACTCCAACTGTCGCAGTCCGAGCGGCAAGGTTCGACTCGGTGGCCACCCGGAGGCCATTGGGGAGAGTAGTAACGCGAGTTTCAGGCGCGGAGAGAATCCGGGTGTGGTCAGTGATGGTCGGGTGAGGCGAGCCGTATTTCAGAAATCTAGGGTCGGGATTTTCGAGCTGTTTTAGCTTCGATTTGACAGCCTCAGCAAGGCGATCGTAGACCATGGCGTTGGGCGGGGGAGGAGAGGGAGGTGGAGAAGAAGAAGCCACCGCTGGGGAAGTGGACGCTGATCTAACATCCTGGGAGAACGAGGCGGAGGATCGCCGGGGAGAGGTGCGAGCGAGGGTGAGAAGACGCTTCATCGCCATGATTGATTTTGCCCCCCTTGCTACCTAGGGTTTGTAGCAGCTACAGAATTTCTTTTCGAGGACGAAGGAGATGCACAAGAAGTCGTGAAAAGGGCGACATGGCGAGTGTTTCGCGAAGATGCATGCTACGATGTCGTTTTGAGAGCAATACGACATCGTTTTAATTTTTGAACAACCGGCATTGGAGCCTGGTTTGGCTGCTATTAGACCGAGTTTTCCAATCTTTTCCATTTTTGTTTCTTTTTAAAATTTTTTTTTTTGGTTAAAAAATTTTAGGGGCAAAATTACGAATTTACTCCTCATTAATTTTCTTCTAAATATTTATTTCAAGAAATTCTAAAAGTTTAATTAATAAAAACCCTCCTTATTAAGATAAGAATCGTGTTACTCGTCTAAAAAATATCTTTTAAGTTTTTAAAAATATCGATACACTTTTAAATTTTCATTGAACTTAAAAAAAAATATATCAAAGTTAAAAAAAAATATATAATTTTTAGGGTGCTTGAAACGAACCGTCTTAATTGAAGCTTTCTCCATTGTGGGTCTGAAAAATTCCTTCTTAGGCACAACCGTTCATGAATGTATTGCTTTTTGTTATCTAGTCCATTTCGTGGGTCATGTCAAAGTCACTTATATCTAGGACAATCAGGGTCACTTTTAGGGATCTTTAGAACATTGTCATTCTCCAAGTTTTAACTTGTTTTCAAGCTACTAATCTATAAGTATTTCGTAAGAAAATTCTAAGTTAACTACTTACCTCATAGTTGACATTCAGGACCTACATTCTCGAGCTTTCGGTATTCAAATTACTTCAAATTTTCTTTAACAGAATCATTAAGGTGCCTAGTGGTAAGGATATTTAACCTTGAATTATGTTTACCATATGTATGGTATTTAACCCTTTATTATAAACAAATATATTGTATGGTATCTAGTCTTCCATTACGGTTTATCATAAGTAGCATATTTGACCCTTTATTATAAGCAAATATATTGTATGATATTTAGTATTCCATTACAGTTTACCATAGGTATCATATTTGACCCTTTATTAAAGGCAAATATCTAGATATTTGGTTTGATTACGGCTTACATAAGTATCATCTTTCCCTTTTATTATAGTCAAATATGTTGTATCCATTTATTATTATTTCCATTTATTACTCACCCCATCTCTTTGGTAATTTATTTGATTATGTAAATGACTATATAAATAGACAATATTCACCACCGTTTAAGTGCGGTGGTTTTATCAAATATTTGCATGGTATCAGAGTTTCTTTTTTATGGCTTCCAAACCCTTTTCTCCTTTCTTTTGACACTATAATCCATATGATCACCTCCAAACTTTCTTCCTTCAATTATCTTATTTGGAAAAACCAACTTCTCCCTCTCCGTGTGAGTCAAGACATGCTAAACTATGTTGATGGATATATGGTTTCACCACCTCACTGTGAACCAGAAACCTCCTCAACACTCGGTTGTGAAAATCAGCTGATCAACTTCTTTGTCTCCTGCTCTCCTCTCTCACCGAAGAAGTCATAGTGGTCGTTGTTGGTCTCTTCATTGCACGTGACATTTGGCTTGCGTTGGAGACTACGTTTAGCCATCATTCAAAAGTTCGTGAAATAAGACTCAAGGATGGCTTGCAGTTGATGAAACAGACACCAGACTTGTTGCTGAGTATGTCCATACCTTCAAAACAATTTGTGACCAACTTTATGTCATTGGCAGACCCGTTGAGGACATTGATAAAGTGCACTAGTTCCTTCGTGGACTCGACAGTGATTTTTCAATTATTTCTACTACTCAAATGGTCTCACCCCTCTCCCCTATTTTGCAGATTTAGTCTTCAAAGCTAAAAGTTTTGAGTTGTTCTAACGCTCCCTTGAGTCTTCTGACCCACTCCTACGACATTCACAACCACTAATTATGGTCGCACCCAAAGAAGTTACCCTATTTCCTTTAGCAACTAGCGAGGTCGTTCTCATTCCCACAACTCTTTCAACTGAAGACGAACCCACTTTGGTCAAGGTTGTCGACCATCTCGCTGCCACATATACTGCACGGAGGGCCATTATGCTGACCGCTGCAACCAATGATACGTTCGGTCTGATTCTACTCATGCACACCTTGCTTAAGCCTTCAACACGTTATGTTCTATTGCTGGAACCTAGGCTACTGATTGATTTTTGGACACTCGGGCTTTGGCCCATATAACCGCCGACCCATCTATTTTGGATCAGTCTAAAAATTACATGGGTGAGGACTCTGTGATCGTAGGAAACCGTGCCTCCCTACTCAATACCCACATTGGTATTCTTTCTGCTATTCCAAATATTCACTTATTAGATGTCTTGATTGTCCCTCATCTCACTAAAAATGTTCCTTCAATTAGTAAATAAACATCTAATTTTTTCGTCTCCATTACATTTACTGTCCGTTATATTTACTAATAATCTTCTTACTATCCAGAATAATCAAATAGGGTAAAAGGGATGGAGGGTTATATGTGGTGGAGCGTGGAAACTCTACCTTTATTTCTATCCTTATAAACAAATTTTAAGGTGCTTCATATGATTTATGTCATGTTCGCCCAGATGATATGAATTATTCTATTATTTCTTTTTTAAATAAAAAATGTCAACTTTTTCTTAAGTTTTTATTGTCTTCTCTATCGTTATGTAGTACCTGTCAGCTTGCGAAAAGTCCTCGATTGTCTTATTCTCACAATGAACATAGGTTGTCTCATGTGTTAGATCTTATTCATTGTGATCTTTGGTGTCCTTCCCCCATCAAATCTAATTCAGGTTTTCTTTGTTATTTTTATTGATAATTATTCTCAATTCTCTTACGCTATTCTTTAGAATTTAAATCTGATTTCTTTGATATTTTTCTTCAATTTAAAAAATTTGTGAAAAATCAACATTTTACTCGTATCAAGGTTTTTCAAAGCGATGGAGGTGCTGGATTTACTAACACTTGTTTCAAAGTTCACTAACGTACTTCTCGCATCCACCATCAACTCCATTGTTCATATACACCTGCTCAAAATGGTCATGCTGAGAAAAAACATCGTTATGTGACTGAGACTGGCTTGACCCTTCTCTTTCACTCCCACTTTTCTCCTCGTTTCTGGGTTGACGCCTTCAGCAGTGCAACTTATATTATCAACCGGTTGCCTACTCCACTTCTTGGAGGTAAGTCACCCTTTGAACTCCTCTACGTCTACTCTCCACATTATGGCAATTTTCATCATTTTAGTTATTGTGTTTATCCTTGCTTGCGTGATTATATATCTAACAAACTTTGTCCCCAGAGCATTCCTTCCATGTTCTTGGGCTGTAGTCTCTCTCATAAAGGGTTTCTTTGTCTTGATCCTACAACACTAAGCTATATATCACCTGGCACACTCAATTTGATGAAATTCATTTTCTGCTATCTCTAGCTCCCATGCCCAACCTCTTTTTTCTCTTCATACTCCTCATATTTCAAATTTCTTGGAACCGCATCTTTACCATATTAATTCAACTCCATACCACTTCTTCACCGCACATTTCTCAATCCAGCTCATCTCTGTGTGATATTTGATCTAGCCTTATGGATGAGTCTATGCAGGTTGATACTTCTCTTGTAGGTTCTTCTTTGTCGCCCTCGATTTCTAATCCGCCCTCTATTGAACCTGCTTCTAATTCTTCTTTCTTTGGGCTCTCATCCTATGATCACATGAGTCAAAGTTGATATCTTCAAAGACTTGCCATCTAGCAAATCTTAGTATTTTTTGACTCATCTCAACGTTTTTTTATGCTTGTAATAACAATAACAAAGAATAACAATAATAATAATAAATAAATAATAAAAATAATAATTTTCCCCAAACTACTCTCTATTAGCCTCTCATTCCTCTCGGTGCCTGTCCTCGGCCAATTCCTCGTGCCAAATCCCAAATCCAGAATGTATCTATAGTTCCCGTAGCAATTAAAAAAATACCTACAAGCAGATTTAAAAGGAGATGTTGCAAATTTGACTGGAGAAATAGATTTTGCTTTGTTATTAGGGTAAGTCATACTTCAGACCTCCTTTTCATTTATCCGAAATAGATTTTGCTTTGTTATTAGGGTAAGTCATATTTCAAACCTCCTCTTCATTTATCCAATCTTGTTACAATAAATCACGTCAAGATCATATATTCTTTTCCTTTATCCAATTATTTACAATCATGTCTCCTTTTCCCTTATCCAATTATTTAGATTTTAGTTAGCATGATCACATCAGAATGAGGCCAATATCTGTCAAAAAAAAAAATTAACGGAGTAAATACATAGTAAAAGCTAAAATTTAACAAAGTAAATAGAGAATAGAGAGGAAAATGGATGATTTGGTGAACATAGTTAAAATAAATCCAGAGAGGAAAGGGGAAAATTTAACCAAGTAACAGAATAGGCTAGAAATTGTATGAGTTATAATATATGGTTGTTTATGACGTAAGGATGATGTATACGATATTTATGATTTATGATGTATGAGCTGAATCGTAAGATGTTGTACGTTAGTTATATGATGATGTATGAGCTATGATGTATGAGTTATGATGCATGATGACGTGAGTTATATTGCTATGTATGACGTACTTGGCATGCTTGATGCATTTAATGATGGTATGACGATTATGACGTTTTGCATAATGTTTACCTTAATATGATTATGTTTTCCATATTAAGCATGTTGTATGATGAGTGTCATGTTGCATCATGCCGATAGATCGACCTAGGACACAACCCTAAGAGGATAAACAACGATATTTATGTAAATATCTAACGAGCATGTGTTACTAAACTTAACAGAGAGATCAGACTAGGGTTGTGTCAGAAGAGACGTTAAGCTGAGAATTAGAGGGACCTCATGCATTTTGTGTGTACATAAGTGTAGGGATACTTCCTTTTGAGAGATGAGTGAGGATGCGCACAATATGGACCTCGGGTCTCACTTGCGTATTACACGAGAGCGAAAACTCAGCAGTCGCAGTCTCGTTCGGTTAGTGTATCGATTTGGTTTGCTTGTGTGGACCACAGGTCGGCTGTGGTTTAGGTCGTCACACAAGTACCGGATCAGCTGTTGGAGCGCGGGTT